CCAGATGCTATGCTGTGAGAGCTAAAGTTAGATAAGAGGAAGGCCAAAGTTAGCATTTATAGAGCACTCCATTTCATGTCTCCTTTTCAATCATTTGCAGAATGACATCAACGATTATAAAGGGAACATCTGCTGATGGCTTTAGGAGGTATTAAGTTTGGAATGACTAATTTAGCCATATAATTAACAGAAATATGGTTTGTTTGGCAGAATAGGAAAAACACACTATAGAGATACTGATGATAATTGTGAAGACCAGTAATAGAAATGAAAATGTATCACTTCAGTTCATTACATGTCTGAGTCTGTCATTCCAAAATAAGTGCCTCTTAAAGCCAGATGCTCCCTCCGCAATATTTGATGTGTGTTTATAATGGGTGGACAAAGGAGGTATTACATCTTTTGTTAGCTCTAAGTACCAAGGTCAAATTGGGTAAATAAGCAATGATTTCAGAATTTTAATTATATAAGAAATGATTCTGTTTAATTCTTGCAGAAATTTTTCTGCCTCCTAAGGATTTTCTAGAAGGTAGCATTTTGAGATTAACCATCCTTTTCATGTGTTCAGACATACACAATTTGAAGTATGCTTTATTTCTAACCTTGTAAACATTAGGAAAATAATTCAGATCTTCTCTGGTTTGGCTGAGGGTGCACTGCAAGCTTAATAGGAGGCATGTGGATGTTTTCACTGTAGTATAATGAAAATTCAACAGAGAGGCTTCCTCTAGAATACTAATCAGTGGAATTACAAGATATTTTAACATGGGACACAAAGTGGTTTTATTCTAAATAAAAATTATTGACCTTTCATTATTTAAAATGCTAAAATTTTAGTCTCCTAAATCTTATGAATTTACTTTTCTAGTTGCTTATGACTATTTAATGTATGATTTCACTCTATTCTGTTCCAATTCATAAACTAACCTTGTAACACTGAGCACATCCCAATACACAGTTAAAAGCTGTGATTAAGACTGTTTATCTGTGGTTCATTCTTTTCCATTTCCAACCCTGTGTTTGTAGCATCTTGTTTTGTCAGGTTTTTGACATTTATTTCCTTTCATCTGTTTTAATTAGGAAAAAATGCTGAGAAAGGAATCTTGCAGTCGAGAAAAGAAAGACAAAAACTTTCCCTCTCCTTACTTTTCAGAGTTCCCCTATAGACATCTTCTTTTGCCAGTTATTTTCATTCTGCAAATCATCATTTTGTTCAGTCTTGCAGAACTGGCAGATTTCGGACTGTCTGGTTCTGTTTCACCAGTCCTAGGAGGAATGGATTTGTGAGCAGATCTAAGGTAAGGATTTGAAAGTTCATGGTAAATGAATGTTCTGATAGTATTCCACAGTATGAATATTGCTGGTATCTAGGTGGAATGGCATGGTTATAGGTGGGTGTATTTTCAAAAAAAAGAAAAGGGCCAATTTCTAACTCATTGTGAGATGAACTTCTGCTCAAACTTCTGTGGGATGGCATCACCCAGGCTCCCCTGGTGTAAAGGAAGCTGGTCAGAAATGAATCCTACGAAGGGACAAAAAGAAAATTGGACATTTCCAAAAGTAATGCAGCGTATTTTATTTTCTTGTGTGGAATTTGGTACGTTAGCAATGGCTTAACTATGTAACTTCTGTGTACTTTTCTTACTATGTGTACTTCTCTCTAGCAAAAATTCTTTACTAGAGGAAAAATCACATTACGTTTTCACCCTGTCTATATTTTCCATTTTCTATTCAGGAGGTGATAAGTTTGGGCCATGGTGGCTGTTACTGTTCCTTTCCATGCCCTTTGAGAGCTCAAACTATGAAATGAAGCCAAAGCTGCAGCTGCAGCAGAAAATATTCACTTATAAATGAGAAACATCTTGCTGATTTTCCCCTCCCTACAGTGAATCGGTGCGTAAGATAAAGAACAACATATCATGTAACAATTAGGCCACAATCTATTAACATCTCAGCGAAAGTTAAACACAACTATAACAGTTAATTCTTTTTTTCAGAAACTATAGCACTATGTTGGATGTGATATGCTGCATTGTGAAGGGAAAATACTTTCTGTTTTTTTTTTTTCTTTTTCTTTTTCTTTTTCCTGTAGCTTAACTGTTTGTTTATTCTTCAGTTTTAGATGATTTTCTATGTTGGAGCAATTTTATACATGTGTCAGGCTTGTAAAATTTTCGCAGTTTTTCATGGAGTACTTTCATATAAACACAGATTGAATTAGTGTACTGCCATGAAATTTGCTATTTTTTGTCACAACAGCTTCGTGTGCTTCTTCAGTTTGATTAATTCTAATCCTCATCTGTTGGAGGGGCAATAATTTCTTGTGTGTGGAAAACCCACAATACCCTATTTTGCTTTGACAGCTGTATTTATTCCACTGAGCTAATTAATGGGAATCCCAGTTGCTAAGATGGTTTTCTGATGTGCTGTTCCAAAGAAGCAGCTGACAATTGTGATTTCAGGAAGAAGAAAGTGCTTCATTTCTTTTTCTTTCCTCCCTTGATCTTCAGGTGTAGAATACAAGGTTTGTCCATTTGAGAGAACACTGAATACAAGCAAATCCTTCAGTTTCACTTTAAAATTCTTACTTTTTCTTTTTATCATTGAATCGTTTGAGTTGGAAGAGACCCTTAAAGGCTGTCTAGACCAATTCCACTGCAATGAACAGACACCTACAGCTCCATCAGGTGCTCAGAGCCCCGTCCATCCTGACCTGGAGTGTCTCCAAGGATGGGGCACCCACCACCTCTCTGGGCAACCTGTGCCAGTGCCTCAATACCCTTATTGTAAAACACATCTTATATCCAAATACAGTAGAAGTTTCATTTATTTATTCATGTATTTATTTATTATATTAACTAATTTTGTATTTTTAAGAATTGCCTACAATATGGATCAATTAATCGCATTTATATTTAAAAATATATTTCAAGCTAAAATAATTATACTATTTTTTTTAAGCTATCTGAGCTACTTCTCACAGTGGATTAAGCAATGTGATTGCAATGATTAATTTTCTTTCATAGTATCTTTGTGTTCTAATACACAGAAATCTTCGATTTAGTAGTTAAAGTTAAAAAAGGACATAACCGTGGCTGAAAGCAGAAGTCAGAAATATTTAAACTAGGAATTAAATGTGACTTTCAAAAGCAGGATGAACTTGACCTTATTTTTTAGCATGTCCCTATGTTGAGGGCAACTAATAATTGACAGTTCTTCTCATAGAAAGTGACAAATTGATCATAATTTGGAATCTTGAAATCAAAATTAGATACCTTTGAAAAAAATCTTCTGTAGCCCAGTCCAAATGAAGACTGACAACATTAACTTCTGGTGAAAAGAAAAAATGATAATGTCCCAATATGAGAAGGTAATAAATTATTTGGTCTGTGTTACTAAGAAGTTGGATAATATATCTGCAGTGGATTCTTCTGGTCTTAACAGTCTGTTAATCCACAAATGTTCAAATAACACACAGTATGAGTACAAGCAGTAGACGGAGCATTTTGAAATGAAGGGTGACATTAGAGAGGCAGTTTGATTTAGCAATTAGTGCATGGATTCATAAGTCAGAAATTCTACATTCTATTCCCATATCTGACATTGATTAGCAAGTCACATTAGGACTTATTATCAAAAGTCAGATATGCAGCTGATCATCTAATTAAGATCATCATACTATTAGCATAACTGCATTTGCAAATCATGCATGCAGAGCTTTAGCCTTTGTTTAACCTTGATCTGTGATATGAAAGCAATCTGTGTCACAGACTTATACAAACCTCTCGTTCTGTGATTTGAGCAGCTCACAGTTTTTAATATATTTATCCTCCTCAGACTCTGTCAAACTGGGTATTATTATTTATCCTCATTTTGAGAAATTGGAATGGCAGCACAGAAATACGACGCTCGGATTTCAAAAGATTAGACAGTCAAAGATGCAGATAAGCAATTAATGAAATTTTCTTAAGTCCCAAAGAGGATCACATCCTTAACTCCTATGTGTATTTTTCATGACTTGTATGTGCCTAAAACACTTTAAAATTGGGTTCTGCATCTTGTTAGGTCTAAGTCTATTTGGAAACTGTGTTCATGCTAAATATATGGCATTTTAGGAGGCTTCAATGCCAGGCTAGTTTTAGTCTTATCCTATAGGGTGAATGCTTGCTAAATCTCAGCTTCTGACTACTTTCATTCCAAAATCCAGTTTGTGTGATGCTCCAACACCGGTCCATAGAAGTGAAAGCACAGTAAATGGAAATGATCAGGAAATTTGCTTCAAAAGATCAGAGTTGGGGTAAAGTGTTGTTGCAGACTCGCTCAGCGATTACTAGAATCAAAGCCACCTGAGAATCCTATTAAGTAATTAAGATTCCTATCTGCAAAGGTGGAGAATGTAGATGTCCTGGCCTGAAAAGCTCACTATTAGCAAATGAGTTTGGCCATCTAAAGAGTATAATAAGATTGCTTTCTGGTTTGTAGCTAACTGAAGAGCTGGATAGAAACAATTAAAACTAATTTGAAAAGAGAGTTACTTAGTTTGTGGAAGATTAGCCAATTTAACAAGACAAAATACATAGCATCTGCCCAACTTTATAAAAATTGCTACATTCTGGGATTATTTTAATAAATATTTAGAACCTCTCTTTGCCAATTTTATGAGAGAAAGCAATAATTTTCCATCCACTGCACACTCATTTTCATGAATTTTCCACATGATGAGAAAATGAAAGAAGAAATGTCTTATTTTAAGGATTCTAAGCATATGGGTACAGTAAAAGGATTTTTTGAAATTAAATTCACTTCCTTGTAATAAAAGAAAGATTAAAATTTTAAAGAGTGAGAGTCTCAGCCAGGTAAATACTTCAAAGATCTCTTGGATTAATTTAATCCACTAACTGCTGGTTCATTATTTTAAATGAATTAACTTTTGTCACTCATATCTTACAAAGATAAGTTACAAACATATGACAGGTGCTCTGTGAACTGATATTTCTTACCTGAATGTTTCATTTTTTTTCCAAAATATGAAATGGACTTCTTTCATCGTTGTACATGTAAATAGACACCAGCCCATGTGATGTGAAATCTGCAGATGTCCAGGATTTTCTAAGTTATTTATCATCTTTCCTCCCTTTTTTCCTAGTACTTCGGTCACGCTGACATACTTAAGTGATAAATACGAATGAACATTACTCAAGAATGCTGGAAATGAAGGAAGGTACACCAACTATTGCCTTAATAGCTTTTTCATGCCCTGAAATATTTCATCAGAGTGAAAAATAAAGGAAGTAAACAACAGATACTGAAAACAACTAAATGAATAGAATAGAGTCACAAACTGGTGTATCAAGAGGAAAAATGGATTTTAGACCAAAAACTATATTTTATTTAATTTTATTCTAAGATCTCAGTTATGAGGTATTTATTAGGTGTCTAGGATTTTTTTTTTCTGGTTTCTTTTTAGTAAAATGATGTCTTAATGTGCATCCTTACTCTCCCTTTGACTTTCAGGGAAAACTTAGAGTCCTGATAACTTGTATAAAATAGTATTATAGAATAACAGAATCATAGAATGTCTAGAGTTGTAAGGGAACTTAAAGCCCATCCAGCCCCAACCCCCTACCATGGCCTGGTTGCCCCCACCAGCTCAGGCTGCCCATGGTCCCATCCAACTTGGCCTTGAGCACCCACAGATCTTTGTACAGTATGTTACCACCCTACCAAAAATCTGCATTCATCAACAGCTCATCTTTCCCTGGGCTTTCCTGCAGTAGAATCTTTCTAATGTTATGCTTTGTTTTTATCTGCACAGATTGGAATTAATTTTGTGGGTTTTTTTCTTTTTTTTTTTTTTTTAATCTTAGGAGACACTCGGATGCTATGACAACAGTTAGCAGGATTAGAAACTGGGTAGATAATTATTTGACAACAGTTTTGAGAGTAACTAGAAGGGTGAGACAAAGAGGTGGACACATTTTAATTATGTTTGTAACATCTATCCATTTGTTCTTTTCTGTATTGCATAATTTGCAATATTGCAGGAGGGAAATCAACTTTTTACATGGTCTGATAGTGATAGGACAAGGGGGAATGGTTTTATGCTAAAAGAGGAGACATTAAGATTGGATGTTGGGGGAAAATTTTCACTGAGATGGTGGTGAGGCCCTGGCACAGGCTGCTCAGTGAATTGTGGATGCCTCACCCCTGGAGGTGCTTAATGCCAGGTTGATGGAGTCCTGGTCTGCCTGATGTGGTGCCTCATTTAGTGGTTGGCAACCTGACCATTGCACAAGGGCTGGAACTGCTTGACCTCTGAGGTCCCTTCCTGCCCAAGCCAATATCTGATTCTATGATAATATGTTAATATCAATATATTTATATCACCATCATTCTGGACTATGATATTGTAATCTGTACTCTGGAATAGGAGCATAAAGCTGAACCTTTCTGCATCAGCTCCCATTAGAAAGCAGGGGCCTAAAGAGAGCAGGTGAACCTAGTTCTCACCCAGGTCACACCCAAGGTGGGAAAATGGTCAGGGTGCATCGCTAAACCTGGAAGCAGAGAAAACCTTTGCAGGGAGCACAGAGTTCTTCCTATTTCTGCTTCTCATCTTCATGACAGATCACAAGGGGGGCTTGTTAAGGGGGGCTGTAAGGGTACATACAAACTCTTCAGCAGGATCTGTTGTGTTAGGAATGGGGGGAAGTGGTTTCAAAGTATAAGAGGGGAGATAGAGACAGGATATAAGAAGTTTTTTACACTAAGGATGATGAGGCATGGCACAGGTTGCCCAGAGAGGTGGTGGGTGCCCAATCTCTGGAGACACTCAAAGTCAGGCTGGAGGGGGTCTGAGCATCTGATGGAGCTGTAAGTGTCCCTGTTCATTGCAGGGGAATGGGATTAAGGAATTTTTTTTAAGGATTTTTTAAGGATTCCTTCCAACTCAAATGATTCTATGATTCTATGACAAAGCAGAGTGTTTTGTTCCTTGTTTAGCTTCTATTTTATGCTGTTTGGTTTTAGAAGGGTGTGACAGCACAGTATTGAGAAAGGCTGCCTCTGCTTTTTCCTGGCTATGGCAGTTTGTGTCAGGTGGACAAAGGAAGGGAGAGGAGACTGCAGTGCCTGCATGCAGACTGAAAGTCTCCTGAAAGAGCACATGGCTTGCTTGTAGCAGAGGAGCAGATCTACAGCCAAGCCTCAGAGGTCAAGGAGAGGATACATTCCTAGAGACCCAGAGGGAGACTGTGTGAAGGCTGCTGCGGCCCATGGAGGCAGTGCAAATTGATGACTCCAGAGCATCTGGAAGGAGGGACTCATTCTGAAAGGAAATAGAAAACAGGGGGAAAGATTTGTTTTCAAAAACTTTATTTAGACTGCATCATCCAAAAGATCTACATCTGCTTGATTTTAAGGGGCTGCTGTGCTCAAAGGAAACACAGAGATCAGGATCACTTCAGTGTTTTGGGATATGCTCTCTCTGCAGGTATAATTGGTGAGCACTACCTCGAGGCTCAGACCTCCTCAGAATCACACCATAACCTCATAAACGCAAATGTTTACATATAAGCTTTCTGGGATGAAGGCCCTCTCTTCCTTATTTGGAAATGACTATAGAAATTTTAGTAAAATATCCCCAGAGCAACTTATTTGGCCAGTTCTACTGGTAGCAGGAGACAAATAGCTACTATAATGGACTAGAAAACATGGAAAAACAAGCTTGCTGATCAAACTCTTGAATTTGATCTAATTTGTGTTGACAGCTCGGCTCTGGTTAGTACAAGGGATCTAAGAGCAAACTCCAATACTGTTTTCTCTTTCTCTCAATCTTTGCATGCTTTTCCATCTCGAGTTGCTGAAATTGAACATTTGAGCTCTCCAGGAAAGCATCTATCATACAGTCCACACTGCAAACAAAGTGTATTTTCCATTCTGTTTATCACATCATTAATTTATAAAATCTGTGGTTCAACGTTACATATTCATAGACTCATGAGACCACATACAGTGGGCCAAGTTCTCTGCTGTCCTGTATTCTGAGGTAATCCTCGTACAATCCAGCAAAATAAATGCATAAGCTACAGGACCAAATTATCAATAAAAGACACTGATCCCTGTGTCTGAATAAACGGAACATAAAGCATAACAACATTTCCCTTTTATCTTCTTTCCCTTCGTGTTTTGAGATAACTGACAGTGTTATGGAACATGAACTGAACTCCAGATGTTACATAAGTTGTAAGCTATAACCATCCTGTATGATATTTATTGAGCAAAGTTGCACCATACTTTACTTTCTCTGTATTATATTACACTAGCTGGCTGAGATGCCAAAGGATTGGTGTAAGGAAAAGAATAGTTGGTAAAAATAATCATTCTTATTGCCTGGCTTATCACATTTAATAGCACATTTTTGAAGGATCCAACAAAGAAAGTGTGTAAATTATGTGATATGGTGAAATTACAGGATTTCTGTGATAATGTTTTTGGGTTTATTACATAATATGTGCAGGCTTATCTTTGTAAATTACTACGCAGCTCACAGTAGCTTTTACAAACTTCAGAAGTACTAAAGTTATTTTATTTAACTATGGTGGGAAAAAAGGCAGGTCAGGTAATGCTGTCACAAGATCTGCTCACTTGCAGGTGAAAAGATGCAACTGCATGTATTCATATCAGTTTATATCACTGGAATAACTATTAGAGGAAAAAATATTGATATTGTTGCTGGGGATGATCCAAAATTTGGCAAATTGATGCTTCTGTGAATCTCACTGTTGATATCTGAGTGTCTCTGTTTTATACACAAGCAGTAAGAGAGACTTGTGTAAGAGTAAGGGCTGCTTATACAATCAAATTTGCCAAAAGTTACTTAGCCAAGAGAACTGTCAAAATCACTACTGAGATGAAGACATCTGTCTGTGAATTAGAACAGCACAGAAGGCAAATGCTGATGTAGTTTTGGAAGCAGTGAACATGAAAAATAAGAGATACAAATGGAAAAGAAATGTGTTATGCAGAGTATTGGTAGAAACTACTCAAGACTTTTTTAAAGAAGTCCAAGACCAAGATTCAGGACTTCCAGAAAAAGCAGAGGATCCACACCTGGAAAGAGGTAAGTCTTTTCTTGCATCATAATATAATGTCCTATAAACAAACAGCACCTATTAAACAGGGTATCTTGGTAAATTTGAGGGCAATACTAAGTCAGTGGGGTGGGCAAGCAACAGATCTTTCCAGGTAGACCTTCATAACCTTGATGAGAAATCCCAACCTAAAAAAGTTCAAGAAGGAGTCCACATTTTTACCCCTGGGCAAAATGACCCATGCGTCAGCTCAGGATGGGAACAAAGTGGCTGAATGTGAAAGGAACCCAGGGATTACTGTGGACATTGAGATGAATGGGAGCAAAAAGCATATTCACATCATGAATAAAGCAAAATGCATACTGGGCTACAACAGGATTTGCAAGGCCAGCAGGCTAAGGGAAGTTGTTACAGCCTCTACTAAACACTGGTGAGGTCACACAGCTTAGTGCTCTCAGTTCAGAGATTTCCAAATCAAGAAAGATGGTTATTTGCTGAAGAGTCTCATAGAGGTCTATCAAGGCAACCAGACTGAAGTGCACATATGGGGAGATCTGAGTGAGCTGAGATTGTTTAGTGAAGAGGAATTTAAGGGCAGTCTTAATAGCGGCCTACACTGTCTTGAAGGATGCTTCCCATCAAAGACAGCAAAACTAAAATTCCAATTGTTAACAGCAAATTAGGTTGTAGGGATAACAGTGTCAGGCAGCACCTTGGAAAATTCAGATTGATTGGGATGAAAAATTTTTTCACAAGGATTTTGATGCAACATTAATGCTAGTTACCCAGGGAAGTGGTGAAAATCTCCATCCTTGGTGCTTTCCAAGACTCAGCCAAAGCTGGCCTTACGTAGTTGGGATACAACCCAGCCTTGAATAAGGTTGCAAAAGAAATGCCCTTCCAACTGGTGTTTCTATGATTCTATGAAACAAACTGATGAACTCTTTTTGGTTAAACGATTGATTAAATATTCAGTATTATCCAAAAAAATATTGAAGACTATATTTCTGTGACTACCACATAGGTTTGCTGAGTCAATATAATCATTAAAGAACATGGTTCTGCCTCTTATATACACCCAAGATTAGTGTTCGTGTTGCTTTTCTGAGTATTCATTACAGAATATGAGACTCATTATTTAGCTGATTAATCAACACTTACAGTTTAGACTTTAACTGGTCTGGCTTTTTCTATAATGTTATTTCTGGAGACAGCTAGAAATGTGTCATATAATGGTCATATAGGGTTATTAGTGTCCATATAATAAACAGAAGGCGGGGACTGAGAAAGGGAAGAATGTAATTACTGAAGTCTTCCCCCAGTTCTGTGCTTATTTGTCCTTTAGTTTCACTAAACTATATTTGCTTTAAAAACTGCATGGAATTCATAATTACAAAGATGTGTCTAGAACAGTTCCTCAGTACTTGAAAATTTCAATATATTCAGGAAACTTTATGGTAACTTTGAAGAGCAGGTTAGGACAGGAAATGAAAAATAATACACTTAATCGAACCTGCAAACACAATACAGGGTGGTTAATGAAGATATGGTCTGTGTTTTCTATTTACAAAAGAAATTATGATATGAGTTTTACATATTTTAAAACAATAGGTCAGGTCCTGATTATGTTCATATTTCTGTTGCATTCTTCTGTTGATGCTTATTCATATTTATACCAGGTTTAGAATGAAAAAACTATTTAAGCATTTCTAGCAATGCAGTGCTTTCTAGCATGATACTTGACTGATTTAGTTTTAAATGTTAAAGAAGTAAATGAATTGTATAGATTCCTGAAATATATACATTGATATCAGTTTACACTTAATTTGTAGCTAGTGCAGAATATAATGGAAAAAACTCAAATTTGTCTTAAGCTCTTTGTTATGACATATATAATTATTAATAACATAACAGTGTGGAACAGCACTAGAAATGACAAGAAATTAGATAACTAATTATTAAAAGAGCAGTTTTCTTCCATTTCAAAATAAATTATTTCTAAAAAATAATTTCACTTTCTTCAATAATAGCATAAGCGCTGATTCAGAAAAGAAAATTCTTACTGTCCTTATTTTCCTTACCTTTGTTGAAAACCAAAGAGTGAACAGAGCAGTTTATTTAGTTTATTTATGGACAAGAGCAAGTTTGGGTCAAAAACAATAATCTCTTATGTATTGCAGACTTGTTTGTCCTGATTTCTACTACCTTTATTTTGTTCTCTTGAGTGTGCATGTCATCAAATCTATGTATATGACTGTTTTTTCAGCAGTCATAGCTGGCAGTTTAGCTGAAAGTTTGTTTCCAAGCATTGGGTCGTATTTATAAACAAGTTATCAAACAGATATTTATATATGTAGCAAAACTTCATGATTACCTCCCAATTTCAAGTATTTAAAATGAAGATATGTTTGATTACCTCAAAAAATGGTAGCAGCGCTGTGAATTAAAAGTATCCATTTGGTAGGGGTTGACTTCATCACATGCTTATAAAACACTGTAAAAAAATCTTTGTGATGTTGCTTATTGTGTAGAGGATTACAAAAGGCTGGACTTTTCCTATAAAAAACTCAGTGGATATGCATTTAGCCCTCTGCAGTATTATTTGCATTCCATGCAGAGATCCTCCACGAGTATGCAAGCAACTCTGTGAAATTTGCCATCACTGATGAATGTGCAGAGAGAGCTGTGTGGAGTTTTTCTCAGTACTCCAGAGCAATATGACTTTGTTAGCACAGTGATGTTTCTGCACTAACAGATCTCCTCTTTC